GTACCATCGTATAAGCGGATGCATGGGACACAGGCTTTACAATCATATTGTAATTCATAAATCGAAATTCCCGCTTCTTTTTAATTTAGGGACCGGCAGAGAGCGCGCATAACCGGTCACGGCCGTTTGCATCGAGTTGTCACTTCTTGTTCAGAGGTGTTCTGTGGCGCCTTTACGGTGATTTTCAAGAGCACCAGGCCTTGGTCTGTTTCGATAAAAATGTGCTCACCTTATAGATAATATTTTTATTAGCCACTTTTCTTAGTGATGTTTTTAGCGAAAATTCGATTTTCGACCAGTTTTCACTCGGGGAAAATTACCAGTTTTTCATAAGATATCAAAGGTCACATGATACGCCCGCTGTATGTCAAACCATGTCAAACCGATGTCACGGTGACTAAGGGCGAAAAATTTCGCGCATTTGCAACATTTACAATTTGCTTCCACCTGATTTTATTACATTTTGTATGTATTGGATTAGTTTCAATTAATTTGCTTATGTTTAAAATAATTATTTTTGTTTCCATTTTATATAAATCAGTTAATTTGTTCCAGAGGATTTAGTTTTCTGCAAAACTCCCTGGCGCAACCACCCCTAAACCCTAAACTTTGAATTCGCGCCATCAACGTGACCTAACCATAAAGAGTGATAAGACTGGGCCTAACCCCAACTTTGAAATTTTAGCTTTGGGATCTACAGGTTTACGTCAGTGCCACAGAACATACCCCCTTAGAATGGAAACTGCAATGATAGGTTATGGAGATAAATTCAGCTGTCCACCTAGCGGTATGAGCACACAAACTATGAGGAATTTCTCCGATATTTGACTATTAATGATTGCATTCACCAAATATATCGGGTCAATAAAAAAACTCTGTTATGTAATATTTTATTCAATACGTAGTCAATAAATCAGTTACAACCATGTTTTGTTGCTTTCGGGACGATTTGCAACAAATGTTTGTTCCTGTGATGTACCAGTGTTCCCCTTGTCCGGATATTTTCTGAAAGATGATTGATTTGCTCGGCTCTGAAACAACAATGTGAGGAATTAATTTTCTGGCATTGCCTAAAATTATTTGTCGCTTCAGCAATTATTGGTGATGTCATTACAGTAATTGTAATTTTCGAGAAATAATAAAATAAATCTATTTCGTACTTAAAAAAGTATCTGATAATTCGGCACCATCAATTTCTTGGCATTTAGAAGCCGCCTTCATTAACTTTATAATTATCTGCCTCGAATGTATGTATGCTCGCACAAACTGTATTCATTTATCTATTTATTATCTAGAA